ACAATTGTTCTCGGATTGTATTATTGGAACACCAAACGTAACCTATAACAATCAATAATGAAATGTTCCGAAGCTTATTTAAATGTTTGATGTCAGTTTGTTTTTTCCAATGAAGTGTACAATTTAGTGATTTACCTTCCGTAACCATAACGTGAAACATCAGACATAAACGGGAAAACTTGGCGAAATCAATTGGTGATAGCATTGTTCAGTTGACTGGAGACATTAACGTCTGTTTCTAGAACAAATATATGACATTACAAAATAGACAATAATCTATCTATGTATGTATCTATCTATCCTTTATCTATCTATCTATCTATCTATCTATCTATCTATCTATCTATCTATCTAAGTATATATCTATTTATATATCTATCTATCTGTCTATATATCTATTTATGTATCTCTCTATGTATCTATCTATGTATCTAACTATCTATATATATATATATATATATATATATATATATATTTATTTATCTCTCTATGTATCTATCTATGTATATATCTATATATATATCTATCTATATGTCTATCTATCTATTTATGTATCTCTAATCTCAGATCAAGCTGGCCATATGTTTGTACACACGTTATTTCACCAAAACCTAATCTCAGATCAAGCTGGCCATATGTTTGTACACACGTTATTTCTCCAAAACCTAATCTCAGATAAAGCTGGCCATATGTTTGTACACACGTTATTTCTCCAACACCTTACCTCAGATCACGCTGGCCATATGTTTATACACACGTTATTTCTACAACACCTAATCTCAGATCAAGCTGGCCATATGTTGGTACACACGTTATTTCTCCAATACCTAATCTCAGATCAAGCTGGCCATTTGTTTGTACACAAGTTATTTCTGCAACACCTAATCTCAGATCAAGCTCTCCATATGTTTGTACACACGTTATTTCTTCAACACCTAATCTCAGATCGAGCTGGCCATAGGTTTGTACACACGTTATTTCTGCAACACCTAATCTCAGATCAAGCTGGCCATATGTTTGTACACACGTTATTTCTCTTGCACCGAATAAAAAAGGATAAAAAAACAACAACAAAGAGACACATTTAAAAAAAGGGCACAAATGAGTTCATTAACGACTTGGCAGTTGTTCCTTATTGTGTTGAGTCAAGAACAAAGGAAAGACATCATTCTTAAACACACTGTGATGTGACAGACACTTGAATTTGTTCTCAAGAGGAGCAGCTTGAGCCCTGAGGTGAAAATTTGTGTTTTCACATTTAAAAAAGCGATCAATATTGACTTTTTCAGGAAAGAAAATGCAAAGCATGAATGGCTGTCAGGTTGTGTGAAAGGCATGTCACTGCGATGGTTCTGGGCTTAAGCACTTCCCAACGCCATCTCAACCTCTCCCAACCTCCAAAGCACGCTCACTACCGTGCTGAACATTACACATTAGACATCTTAAATAAAAATGTAATAAGCATAAAATAAAAAAAGAGTTTATGTTATCACACAAACTCAGAGACGCCCCCGAATGGCCATATGTAAAAAAAAATACTCGGAAAGACGTCAAAGAAAAAAAAAATTCCACAACATCACACGGTTAGACTAAAAATGCCATTTTCAATTTTTGAGGACGAGAGTTAGTAGACATTTTAGCATGAGTGGCTGAGAGGTAAAGCGTTTGGTATCTATACCATAGTTCCGTCTCGAATTCTGGTGAAGACTGGGATTTTTAATTCCTGGATCTTGGTCGCCTCTGAGCCCACCCAGCTCTAATGGGTACCTGACATAAGTTGGGGAAAAGTAAAGGCGGTTGATAGTTGTGCTGACAACATGACACCCTCGTAAAACCGTGGGCTATTAAAAAAGATGAACTTTAAATTCATATGCCCTATAGACCACAAGGTCTGAAAGGAAACTTAAACTCGGGTTATTTGAAACACTACTTTGGCAAAACAAGTATGAATTAAAAATTAAACAAATAAGTTAATCATCAATGGTATCTAATTATTTCATTTGGTATCGAACAAGGGATAGACATTGTACTTGACTGGTATAATTTGAATTAGTCCCTTGTATACTTTTATACGTTTTCCCAAACAGGTGATATGATCATTACGTACTGAAAAGCTAAAAGAATGAAATTGCGCTAAAAATTTTGTTAAAAATATTTATAATCGCACAGATTTATTGTTGTTAGTCTATTTCTTTTACTAGTTTTATTACATGGCTGATCCATAGTAAATCAAATAGTTATTATTAAAATACATTGTTCAGCAGAAAGAAAAACAAACAAAGTCACGTGGCCTATTTTGTTTTTCGAGACGCCAAAGACCAGGTCAAGAAACAAGACCACAAGGCGGAACGGAAGAATAACTCTCAGGAAACCAACACACTGTCCCTAGCCTTGGAAGCAGAGACTAGACAACAAAACCACACCAACACACTGTTCCTAGCCTGGGAAGCAGAGACTAGACAACAAAACCACACAAACCAAACTAATCCTAAAGAGAGAAGGGTATTGGAGCATTAAGATAGAGAAGTGTTCATTTGTTTGTTGTCACATGAACATCGCTTAGAATTGTGTTCGGGAAGAATGTTTGAGCTAAAACTTCTAAATGTTCTTATCAATTGTTTTTGTTTGGCGCTATTTTATGCTTTGAGCTCTCTAACTACGCTATGGTCATATCACTTATCTGGACCAGATGGGAAAATGGGGGGGGGGGGGGGCTTAGAAAGAATGGGGAATCGAGTTGACTTTTTTTTAAATTTAATATTTATATCAACTCCCTCTGTCTATCTGACTAGTAAAAGTTGAGCGTTATTTCTGACACACCTAAATCTCAGAAGGTTTCTTAGCTATGTATTATTAGTCTCAAACTTTAAGTTCAGCGACAACTTGATTCTATAAACAAAGGACAAAAAAGGGACTAATTCAACTTTTACCGCCACATCAGTTAAGTACAATTTCTTTTTTTTTGTTCAAGGAACTAAACAAAATAATGAATAAATAATAATAATCAGTCTTAGCTTCGAGTCCGAAGATTAGCAGTATTTCCCGTGCCTGCGCAGCCCCAGCTGTGACCTACATATTTTGCCAGAACAAGGGGAAGCAGAACCATTGTCCGCAAGTTGTCGATTTCGATCTTTCTTTTTTGCCGTCTGCACTTGTCCTCGGCAGAAGATTTGTTTTGGTATTATATCTGTATCCTTCAGTGAGTGACCTTCAGCTGTCTCATTCCGTTGCCGCATGCAACCAGCTGCTCTCTTCTCTGTCAGATATGGCAAGTTGGCACATAAGCTGATCTTTGATAAAAATGATTCTTGTTTTCAGGTGATGGAAATTTTATTTAAAAAAGATGGGAAAAAAATACGCTTAGTTAGCTAGGCTAAAGCACTTCCTCTTACAAAAGCCAACATCTGGTTTGCAGGCCAATAATGCACCTGAATAGTGTCAATCGGTTTAAACTTAAGTATATACACCTTGAGTGGGAGTTCCCGATAACACGTCAATGTTTATCTAGTCTACTTGTGGGGGAGGTACGCGATTTGTAATGCAAGTTACTTTCTAACCAGATAGCTCTCATTCCGGTGTAGATTAGGATTCTCAACTTGGTAATTTTCAGGCGCCCCTGAGTTCCAACTATAATAAGTACATGACTTCAGTTTTGATAACCACAATAATTGAGATGCGAGCTGCGACGAGAGCTTAGGAATTAGCTATAGCCAGTAGCTTGAAGTCCACACAACAGCTAGTTTTCCTTTCTCCTCACGCAGCTGTTGAGTTCAAAGAAACTTCTCTCACAATTATCTGCTCCTTAAATATAAAAAGGAACATTTTCTTTTTTTTCTTTTTCAATTTCTTTGTGAATTGAGTTAAAGTATCCTTTATATTTCTTTATATTCCTTTATATTTCTTTATATTCCTTTATATTTCTTTATATTCCTTTATATTTCTTTATATTCCTTTACATTTCTTTTTATTCCTTTACATTTCTTTATATTCCTTTATATTTCTTTATATTCTTTTATATTTCTTTATATTCCTTTATATTCCTTTATATTTCTTTATATTCCTTTATATTTCTTTATATTCCTTTATATTTCTTTATATTCCTTTATATTTCTTTATATTCCTTTATATTGTACACATATGTAGTAATAAGTACATTTGGGAGTGTCTCCTGGTAATAAGGTTATAAGGGTTTTAAACGCTCTGCTAGTTTTCAATGTCAACTAATTGCAGTGGAAGAACCTCATCTAGAAATATATTTGTGTGTTGTTCTGTTCCCTCGCTATGAGTACGTACTAGTCAAGTGACCGTCACGACACTCACTAATGGTGGTCTTTACAACTCCGTCTGTCTCATACTTGAAGGTCGAGTCAAGGTTGGAACAACCAAGATAGAACATTTCGGGAATTTCCTGCATGACTAAGTCCTTATCAGTGGCTCCATAAGGGGAATAGACGCTGATAGTTTTTATTGTCCGACCGTCTCGTTTAGATCTCTAAACCAGATAAAAGAAATTGAGAATCCTATGATATTTTAGACCTTTTAAACTTTTGATACAACGGCTATTTTGTTTTTTTTCTGAAACAAAGAAATATTAAAAATAAAAATCATCTAAGCGCAAAACACAAATGAAACATATTTTAAACTCATTTATGCCAACGATTTATCTTTTTTTTTTGGTTAAAATTTGTGATACTTTCTGTCAAACTAGCTAATGACATTCTAAACAATGTGTTTACATTAGTTAAACAGAACAAAAATATATTTAGTATGCATATACATCCACTATAATTTCAACACCAATCTCACTAAGTAGTGTTTTATGAATACATGTTACATGCAAACGCCATTATAGATGTGAGACACAATATCACTAAGTAGTGTTTTATGAATACATGTTACATGCAAACGCCACATAGGTGTGAGACACAAACTCACTAAGTAGTGTTTTATGAATACATGTTACATACAAACGCCACATAGATGTGAGACACAATCTCACTAAGTAGTGTTTTATGAATACATGTTGCATACAAACGTCACATAGATGTGAGACACAAACTCACTCCAGTGTCTAAGAACATGTTGTTTTGTTTTCCTCCTATTTCCCATTGACAGATATTAAGGTCAAACGTTTCACAATTATTCATTAAAACCTGATAAAGACATGAATAAATAAATAAAAATAACAATAATTTAATTAATTATTGATGATTAATTATTTTGTTTAATATCAAAATTAGGAAAATAAATGCTACTTAATGAGAGATGTGTATGTATGTATGCATGGATTTAATCCCCTTTTTTCGTTCTGACATTTCTTTCTTCCCAAAATTAACCAATTAGTTAGTCATGTAGTACTTATAAAATTAATGTCGTGTTATATTGTGGGATGCGTGGTCAAGAGGACAAGTGGGCATGGCTTGGCTACCTAGAAGGGGGCTCGAGGTTCGAGGTTCAACACCAGACTCGGGCAGATGTGTGAGCGCCTAAAGTCAGCACGGAAAACTATCTCCTAGATACTTCCCCCCCCCCCACTGGTCCACAAATGAGATTGGACCAAAAGCGCTTTGAGCATGCTATTAGCATGACAGTAGCGCTATAAAATCTATAATTATAATATATTGCAGAATACGAGTAGGACTAATCATTTCAATTTTTTTAAAGTAACATCTATATAGTGATGTTGAGAGCCTTATAAATAAAACCTTTTAAATTAAACAAAAATGTCTTACACCGTAAATAATGGATTCGAGGTTGTTGTTTTTTTATAAATGTGCGTGTCCAGCTAATAACTAAACTTTATTAAACCTACATGGTACACTGAATAAGCTGTCTGAGCAACTTCGCAACATCGTACCAATCAATAGTTGCTTCATAGCACTGCTTTGTTATTATATGAAATTTAAATTACTGTAGGGATAACTTATTCAATTATTTGCCAATCTAAATTCCTTGCGAAAAAATGCATTTAAAGTTGCCACTTCAATTAGTAATTCTGTGTTCCAGAGATCCGAGAAATGTCTTTTTTTATGTTTTTTTTTTTTTTCCAATGTATCTTTTGGAAAGTGAATTTTAAAAAAATGTAGTTGCTAGTGCTTGATAGTGCATGGATCTCATGGAAACTAGGAATCAGCGGAGTAGCGAGAGGGGGGGGGGGCAAGGAGGCACGATGCCCCGAGCGCCACTTTCAACGGGAGCGCCTTGATAAGAGAGGCGCAAAAAAAAACTACTGTAGATAATTTAATAAGTTGATCCATTCTAAGGTAATTTGTATTATATTATTATTAAATACTTTTTATTTATAAGCCTATATTTCTATGTGGTGTTCATGGAGTGGGGGGGGGGGGCGCCTACAAAGTTTCTTTCTCCGGGCACTCATTTTGCTCACTACGCCACTGGTATGAATAGATAAATATGTTTACACTATTACAACAAATCCCAGAGTATTGCACAGACTACATCTTCAGGCGTCGAAGCCGAAATAATTATGTATTTGAAGTAAAATGGACTTCTTGAAATACAGACAAAGACACAAAGATGAATTGTGGCGAGTCGCCTTGAAGGAATAGCAAAGAACAGAGGAGCACACTCCAAGGGTCAGGAAGACGTTGGGTCGATGATGTAGAGGCGAATCTACAACACACTAGAGTTCAAAAGTGGAAATAAACATCTCAGGGAGGGAAAAGTATCTTGAAGCAAGCCAGAGCCCCTCCACGGGCCACTGTGATAGATTGAGCTTTTTAAAAGTAAATGTTGGCTAAACGATAACAGTGATAAGCTGATAGGGAAACAACCTCTGCATTGAGTATAACTTAGATAGAGCTAGAAATACAAGAGATAATTGACCCCCCCTCCCCTTTTACCAATATCCGCATCTGCTTTTAATTTTAGGATTTGACCTTACATTACACGAATAAGCTAAGACGTAGGTTGATTGTTACGACTTGTAAACTAAATCCTACAATTCGCTACCTCTGTTGTCTTAATCAATAAATTTGAAGCATATATAAACTCAACATAGTAGTATGTTTTGATAGTGATGCTGTTACAGCGTGGTGCTTGAAATATAATATTCTGGTCAATTTTTTTCTTTCTTTTTGAAAGACGAATAAAACATGTATGTTTAGCTTACCATATTTTTGTTTATTAGTTGTGTATTTTAATGTTTCCTTGACTTCGACATAGACACTCACTACACTATTCTGTTATGCCGTGGTAAAAGTTTTCCCTTTAGGCCTTGCGATTTTTAGGAAACAGGATGTCAAGTGATCAGCACAACGATTAACGGCCTTTGCTAAATTTCAGGTATCCCTTTGAGTAGGATTGATTCAGGACCTTAAAATAGTGCCAAAATTCATAATCCAGGTCTTCCCCGAGACTCTCACAAAGGGCCCTTGGTTCGGAAGCCAAGCGCCTAACGACTCAGCCATCGCGTCTCTTTTACCGAAGTACATTGTCTAAAAATCCTCTATATTCTTGAAAAAAACAATGCAAAATCTGGATCATTTCTTAAATGTAGAAAAAGATCTAAATCAAACTAACTTCGCTCTAAGTCTCTATTATAGTTCCACGTCTAGAATGAGCGAGTCTTAACTCTTTCTCTCATAACCAACGATACAAACGTTGATTCCGTCAGATTGTGGAAAATAATTACGGAGAGAAAGAGTTAAGACTCGCTAATTCTACCTATTCACTATCACTGGAAAAAAGTGAATTTAACCTACTTACAAATAAAAATCAACTAGCTCATACCCGTGCTTTACTACGATTGAAATAGTTATTTTTTTGTATGTGCCCTTAAAACATTTTAACCCGTCAATAAAACGGGCTGCATTACAACGTCCCCCCCTTTTCCAACTACTTACTGTTAACGTTTAGCACATAGGTCAGTGATAAATTTCTTTGTGCTGTATGTCATCAACTGCGCAAAAAAATTCTGGAAAGTAATTTAGACAAAGACATTAGGAAGTAATATTACTAGTTATTTAATGATGTTGTGTTAAACCAATATTTCATCAATAAAAAATGTTTTAAAATTAAACAGGCGTAAACATTTTTATTCTGGCAGTACATTAAAGTAAGATGTTAATGACACGCAATTTGTGTCATAGGAGTTTAGAAAAAATCGCCTGACTCGGCCAGGAAAAGATATGATTTAGTTAAAGTCTCGTATCGGCATCTATTGACTCTTGAGACAGTGATACGTGTACGAAGTAATTATTTTCAAGAAATGTCTGTAGATTGAACGATAAGATAATGGTCTGAATAGTTGCTAGCAGATTTAAGCCAATGTAGTACTAGACCCATCAGCTAATTACGAGTAGAGTTGCACACTCTTTCACATCGTTATGATTTGTAATGGTTTGGTTGTTTATGTCATGTCCCCCCCCCCCATCTCTCTATCTTGATTCTTCTTCTTTATGTGTGGGAAGTGGATTCTTGTAGTCTATTGCTGAGATAACTGATTATCAGGCTTTTACGTATGTAACTTTGACTTATCTTTGGTAAGATAATGGTCTGTGATAGAGTCAATTACCTGTCTGTCTGTCCGATCTTATTGTGAATAGTTTCTTGTATTTTAAACATAGTATCTACAACAGCAAGAATGAAAAGTTTCCCTTTCAGACCTTGTGATCAATACGGCAGATGATGATTCTGTTGCACAGGGTGGTCAGCACAAAGACCAATCTCCTTTATTATTCCCAACTAATGTCAGCTACTCTATAGAGCATAGGCGCCCTAAAGATGATCCCAAAATTAAAAAATCCCAGTCTTTAGAAAGATCCTAACCCAGAACCAGGTTCAGAAGTCTAGCGCCTTACCACTCAGCTGTGCACCTCCACACCTCCTGGCCTATGATTATGCAAATCCGACTGTCGTTACAATGGTTCTCAGTTTGAGTTATGCCATTCCCTGAGTGCTGATAGAGGCTTAGACTAGGACGCAATGATCTTCGCTTCTGAAGGAATCTCAAGCTTGCAAATCTAGAGAACTTAGCTGATTGTCCTTTTATGCTGCGCCTGTCTCAAGTTAATGCTTTGCAACGGATGGCTCATGATTATAAGGTCTCCAATGGGATTACCCTTGTAGTACTAAGAACAGTATTATGTCGGTAGTTTTCAATGGCCTACTTGAGATATATCATCATCCTCCTCTTCTTCTTCTTCCTTCTCATTATTATGTTGGAGTGTTCAGATGACTAGACCTATATAGGAGATGAACTGCGCAGTGGTTTCCAAATCAGGGAGCTCTCCATATAGATTTTCTTTCTATTGGGGTGTATCGTCACCTGTCTTGTGTGTTCCTCGCGGAACAAAGAGGCCCAGTCTAAACACGTCAGACTCTAAAGTCTCCTGCTAGTCTTTTCACTTGCTTCTCAGCTTTTTCCTTCAGTCTCAAAGTTTTATTCACATCACTTTTCTTGACTACATGTAAATGTTGGCGTATTTGTAACTTAAAGACACACCGCATTAGCTTAGGGCTTACAAGATATAAAATACTAAACAAGACAATGCCGCCAATATTATAAACCATAAAACAAACCCTTAATTTCATTTAAATCAAAATAATTAGGTTTGAACAATTACATTAAAATCATCATTTAAAAACAAAAAGTCAATAAATTATTTCTCTACAACGTTATGAAATGAACATAAAAATTTAATTTTAAATCCAAAACTCGACTGTGTTCAGTTGCCACAAAAGTCAGTCTTGACGTGTTTGTGATTAGTACATAAGTGACTTTATTATACCAACCGAACATTGCATTTACTGGTTCTATACTTTAAACAATGCATATACAGTCTGCTGTAGCACCGACGTCTACTTCTTCAGGGCAGTTTTCAAATTTAATGAAAGGTTTAGCTGTCAAGTGAACATTTTAAAATGATGCATTTTTAGATAATATAGGGCGATTAGACCATGAGAAGGGTTGCAGAAATGTTATTGAGTGTGTGTGTGTGTTTCTATTGTGACAGTGAGAAAATGTTATCGATTGGTTGGTGGCAATGCTTTGTAAATGATGCAATATAAGCTGCACTGTCGTAAGATGTCTTGGGTACATTAAACGACTCCAGAAAGCCGAAATGAAAAGACGTAATTTTGTCAGCTTGATTTTTTTCCAAATACCATTTTATATTTTGACTAGAGTCTACTACATTTATTGATTTATTACATCTCATATTAAACTATAATGTAGTATTGTTCA